GAGCCCCCCCCCGGAAGAGCAGATGCTTTGGGACAGACCAGTGGCAAGACACCCACCCACAGAGAGAAAGCACGAGGGCGAGAGATCCTACTGCATAACAAGATATAAATAAATAAAATATGCTAGAGGAAAAAGGCATGTGAAGGAAACAACAGTGCCAGGCAGAGGATGGGTTACTGCAAGGAGGCAGCATCTGTTCCCTTGGATGACTGACAGCATTGCTGTATGTATTAAGACACAAGATCCTTCCTTCCTTGCTAGCCATACTCCCCAGAGGTGTGAGCTATTAAAGCCAGGTTCTGATCTGTCTCCCTGACATCAAGTGCCTCCCCCTTCTTTCACGGATACAGTCTATTGCTCCGATTTGCAGCATCGCTACAGCTTCAAAGAGAGAACAGCCCAGCCTGATCCAGCTCCGCTTGACATGGGGGACAAGGGACAGGCTGTTACCTCTTTCACGTGCCCTCTCAAGTCTGCATGGAGGAGATTTCTTAATGCTCATCTTGCCCTGTGATAATGGGCAGAGGTGACTGAATTTAGGTTAGCTCTTAACCTTTTTTTTTTTTGTGCAGGAAAAAACAATAGTGTCAAGGAGAGCCTGGCAGCGCTCAGCCATCTAGCGATACAAGAATGGATAAGCAGCCATGTTGCTTTGCCACCTGCTTGTGCCATGCCAATGGAGCTGCTGTTTCAGGCACTCTGCAAATTCAGGAAGGCACTGATGCCTCAGTTCATAGCTTCAAAATGCTATCGTCAGACAATGGAATAAGACACATCTTTGCTTTATTAATGAGAAAATAAGATCAGGAAGGAATAGGAGGGTGCGTGCGGTGTTCTCTCATCTGTTGGTAACACCAAAGCTGAAAACTCTGTGGTTTAGGGTATTTACCAATAGAAAATCAAAGCAGCATGGAAGGCAGGGAGTCCCAATTACCAACAATTGCTTAACACTTCCCATCATTCATGGTTGTTGGATCCCTTACTCACGTGAGACCGTAACCTATGAATGTGAGGGAAACCATGGATAGCATTCAAAGTGAAATCCAAAATGACCTTGTATCCATCTGGCATGACTCAGGAAGAGAAGCCAACACAGCAAGGTGTAGGAGGAAGAGTGACTCACCGAAGTTCTCCCCACCCCAGATGTCCATGGCACTGTCATACTTCCCCAGGTGATTGAACCAGGCTTTGTCGATCACAAACAGCCCCCCGGCAATGATGGGAGTCCTGCAGAATGGGTAAGGGAAGAGGGGACACTCTCAAATGCTGCTGCAGCACCTCAGTGTACAGAAGCAGCCCTTCCCTTTGCCTCCTCTTCCATCATCAGGACGTTATCCACGTATCTCCTTCTCACCAAACAAGGACAACACACCTCAAAAAGCATATGAGCCTTTCTTTCAGCCGCCTTGGTATTTTGCTGTCAATCATAAATTGCCTGGCACTTAATGACTGGCTAATGCACCCATCAGCACAACTCCTACAAGCCCAAAGTTCACAGCCCTGATTGTAGGCTTCAGCATCGAAAATGCACTTAGCGCTCGGGGGGGTTATTCACTCAGATGGGCTTTTTGCCTGGAGCCAGCCTATTAAGAGCACCATTCCACTGGGGAGGGGAAGGCAGAGCCAATTCAGAAGGGCTTTTTAAAAGCCATCACTAGCTGTGTGATCTTTATTTCAAAACAGGGTTATTTTTCATTCTTTGGATTCGCTAAGAAAACTGCACAGAGAAGGTCCATGGAGGAGGGGAGGGCAGACCCAGAAGACAGCTCGAGGAGACTCGCCATTTCCTGGCACAAGTCCTGCCTCCATTCAGTTGCAGATAGTGTGGATGCCTTGGCGTAGGCTTGGGAGGAGCTGGGGCGACTACTGCGCCCGGGCAAGTCTCTGCAGTGCCCTGCATGGCAGAATGACCAGGAACGCGAGGCAAGCCTTTGGGAAGTCAGCGAGAGCTCCTGTTAACAACAGCATCCTAAGGAGCAACAGTGCTTTGCTCCCCTGCGAGCTTTCGGGGGCCCTGAGCTTCCTCCAACACCTGGTCTCCCCCATGCTGCACACCCCAGCGTTTCACGGCTGGGGAGGCAGACACCAGCACTCGGCTGGCTGCCAGGAGAGATTCTGAGCAGAATGAGGGACTCCCTCCATCCCACGGCATGAGGACAGATGGCACCTCTCCTGTTCAGTTTTACTATTTCTCCTGCTCATCCTGAATTTCTGAGGAGCCTTCAGCAAGGTCCAGAAGAGCAGTGCTGATCTGGAAGGGCTGGACTAGATACCATATTTTATCAAGTGGGCTGAGGACACTGCCTTATTTTTAAGTGATAGATGAGCTGAGAGAAGCAGGGGTCTAGAGCACTGGGCTTTTTCTCTAACCATATTAAGCCATAAATATACCCCTTCTACCTTTGCAGCACCCTCAGGCTTCAATGTTGGGAGGTGAAGCTGTACTGCAAAACCCAAGCTAGCCAGGAGCTTGCTATACGTATTAGAAGTTCAGAGCTGCCCTGGAAGGAATATCACACTGCTACGGTGCACGGTGACACACATGAGGTCAGATGAGACGCCTGTCCTGCCCCATGTTCCTCAGGTGCCTCCTTCCCCCTCCTGACTTACTTAATGGGTTCGGTAGGATCAAGTCGTTTGGCTTTCTGCTCTGGAGAAAGCTGCTCCCATTTGAAATGAAGACTCCAGTCAAAACCTAAAACCAAAGCAGAGAATTACCATGGGGAAATTAGAAATGGGTATGGATTAGGAGGCAATGAGGGTTGCAGAAGCCATGTTTGATGGAATATTTTCCCCACTTTCAAATGACTCAAGCCATGGAGATGCAGCTCTTGGGAGAAGAGTCCAATGACTAACATATTTTACTACTGCATATGAACAAGAAACAACACATTGCATTATGATTGCAAAGTCAAGCACTCCAAAGGCAGGAAAAGTCAGAATTAAAGCTGCTGATGAAACTTTACTTTGTCCCCTTGTGCACAGAGATACACGCTCTGATGGATATTGCATGCTACAAATAGCACACGCATACTAATAAGCACTACAGTCACATCCTCCATTTGTTGCCTAGACATCCCACATCTCTTTTCGGCACCCCAGCTTTCAGTGCTGCCAAGGGCGGCTTTGACATGACCCTTCTTTCCTGCTTGACCGCCTTATCCATTGTAGCAAACACATTCCTCGCGCCATGCTTACCTGTCTCTAAAATAGCCTGAAAAGAGCCAGCGGGGAGCAATGAACAGTGCTAATGCACTTTCTGCAAGATAGCAGGAGCCAGCAGTGTAGTGCAGAGCCACCAGCTCCTCGGGCCAGTGCACTCTCACACCACGGGACGGACGCCCACGGGGCACGCACGTGGCTTGAACTCACCGCCTCTGAGGTCCGAGGAAGCCGCCACATAGGCAAAAGTGTCCAAGTTGATGATGTCAATAACGGGGCTGACCACTCGGGTGGGATCCTGGAAAGCAGAAGTGAAATGACCCATGACTTCAGATCACACCGCTCAAACTGGTCAAGGGATGCTCTAAACTCCTGGAGACACCAGGTGGCTGGAAATCTCGGTGTCATTCAGGTTTGTTAGGCACAGGTGCCTATCACTGCCTCCTCCTCCTCAGCCATCACATCAGTTCAACCAAGGAATTAATGGCAGCAGCATCAAGCAGCAGAGGTATTGCTGGGAGCCAGCCGGCAAAAGAGGCTGGGAAGGCAGGCACCATCGCTCCTGGGAAAGAAGACGGCATGCTGCTGGCCACTGAGCTAGCATCTCTCACCATCTTTGGCTTCACCTGCAGTCTCTCCCTCCACAGGCTGTGCATGTACTTGGCGCTGAACTTGGCTGGATGCAAACTCCGCCTGCCATTTGCAAATTCACCAATGTATTCCCCTTTCACCTCCCTTAAATACTTTTTACTGGATTTCAGGCAACAAACAGGCAGTTGAAACAACAGAGGAAAAACACAGGCAGCCAAGCAGCTTAAATACAGGCATTTTTCAAATGTACAAACTATGGGGATACAGTTAGAGTTTCGCCAAAGGTGTGAAAGGGTTAAAAAAAAGACCCGAATTATTTTAAATAGTTGGTGGTGATTTAATTAACATCTTGTTATGGGCAAAGAGATTATACAAACAGTTACGAACAAAAATATCTACAGGAGGAAGAGACTCTGACAGCTTTGACTGGTCTCTTATCTCCCTTTTTCTTTTCAAAAATCCCAAACTCCAATTATAGCTCAAACTTCAAGCTTTTACCCTTGCCAGATCAAATCGTTTTTCACAGCCATGCAAAGAAAAGCATCTGAGCACACATGAGGTTGCTCTCTCGCTTGGAAAAGACTTTTTGTTTTAGAAATTAGTCCTAACAAAGAAGTATTCGAATACAGCTGTAGGAAGAAGCAACCAAAGGCCATGAGCCAGGAGCTGGACTAGGGCTCAGGTTTTCCAAATGAGCATGACAAATACTTGGTATTTCCATAACAACGTCAAGTCAGGAGTCTTAACATGACTTTCTGTGAGTCAAACAACTCACTGAAATGGCAAGGTCTGCTGTACCTACTACCACATGGAGAAGGTCAAGTTGTGTCCAAGCACAAAGAGCCTTTCAAACCCATCATAGCTGCTGCGTAGTGCCCCTCAGACTGCCGCAGCTCACTATTTCCAAGAATCCTTTAGTTGCCTAAGGGCAGGGAAAAGGTTTTAAGCAAAGCATCGGCTTTGTGTGCCAAACACTGCAGGGAAAGGATCATATCCAGTCATTTAAAAGTTGCCCCTCAAGCATCTTACTGGTGAGCACTTCTAACTAGCCCACACTCATTTCCAGTTTCAATTCCACACCTATACTATAGCACAACTTCTTGCAAGAAAATTCCCTTTACCTCTTGGCTGAGTGCATTACTGCAGAGTGCTAGCAGCTTTCAGCAGTGCAGCCTTCTCCCTGCCTCGCTTTCCCTGCCATGTCATGGGGACATTTATATTTATTCAGCTTTCACGAAGGCCTCTCTGACCCTCAATAGAAAAGCACGGCATGCTCAAGAGCACAGCACTGTTGCTATGATTTATTTTGGGTTGAGCACCAGATCTTATTATAGGCAGCTTTATCTTTCTGTTCTTTTGGTAGTCAGGGCATGTTAATATTAACAACACCCAAACCTTCAATCCTCTTTCACATGAAATTCTCAAAAACCTGAGAATGCATTTCTCCAGTACACACCTCAAACAAACCAAATTATGCAATTAAATCAACAGGAAAAAAACTCTGAAAATGGTCCTGAAGACAATGGATGCCTTTCAACCTTGGAAAAGGACCTTGATTCCAGCTTGTCTTCCAACCTCTACATCGTGGCCTTATAATGGACAACAAAACAGGCCACGGTTGCTCCTCTGGCCCCACAGCAGCATCAGGCAAGGCGAGAGGGCCAGGCTGCCCCTCACCTGCCTCCCCTTGCCCCAGAAGAGCACCAAACTGGGGGGGGGGGAATGCTTGAACTGGAAGTAGGGGGTCACCATCCACTGGTTGATCCCAGTGCCATTTGCCCCAAAATTCAGTTTTGGGGCAAGCTCATTGAGTCATGCTGTAAATATGTCTTGGGCTGGATAATCACATTGTTAGAAACATTATTCAGTTGAAATGCACCGTTAATGACGTTAGAGATGTTTGTTCCATAAGTAAAAACAAGAGCCCGCGTGCCCACGCGCTCACAGTCATACGCTTACAAATACGCTGGTGCAAAGCACCCACCATTGCTGCCACTCCCTGGGACACGCACCCTCCCGGGCACAGGTCCGAGACCCCCCAGGCCCCTTCTCTTCCCCCCACACCCTTTCATTTGCTCCTAGACTTTCTAGTCCTGCTTGTTTCCAAACCCACGTGCCGGGCACGCGCTGCCCACACCCGAAAGGGAGCGTGGGCCTGGAGGGGGGATGCCATCGGCTGCCGGGAAAGCTCGACGTGGGGCGCAAGGGGGACGTTAATGTGGGTGCATGGTGGCACATATAGGCGCACATGGTGTGTTTCCCACCACAGAAAGCTGCAGGAATAGCTGCTCTGTCCAAGAAAAAAAAAGAAAGAGAAGCGACGTGCAGGGTGGCTGGTGGTGGCGAAAGTGCCAGCTGTGCTTCAGGGCACTCATCACTCCTTTGCTTGAAACTTAAATCACATTAGCTCAAAGCAGACTGTTCCTAGGAGTAACACGGTAAGAAAATGCTCTTTCTAGGCAGCTAATCCTCACCGCAGCGGTTGGACAGGGAAGCCAGCTCTTTAGCACAGCCTGAAGGTGGCAGCAGTAACATTTCATACAGTTCATTGATCAATATTTTAACCCTGATGGAAAGGATGGGTACAGTGGGTCTGGAAAGAAGGAAACCAAAGACCCGCTGCCCTTATCCTGCAGTTTTTGCGAGCAGTTAAAAAGCAAGCAAGTGGGACCCCACTTGCTTTGCAAGTCCTTCAACACTCTTCATAGTAGGTCTCCATTGCTGCTCTCAGCTGGGCTGCAAGACAGCGGGCAGGATAAGTGCAGCACAAGCTTACCAACTGCCTTACTTCCAACCAAAGATTTAACTCAGAAGAGCAAATAAAAAGAAGTTCACGGAGGTGATGTTTGCATGTGATGCTATATTCAGACCACGATGCAGTGAAACTCCTATGGCCATGCTGCACATGGCATCCGCATTCACCTACCCCACGGGCGCCGAACGTGGGGCACAGTCCCAGAGCTGCGTGGGAAAGCAGCTCTGCCTGTCCCCTTCCTGCTGCCACCACTGCCCTTCTCCTGCCAAAACACAGCAAAAGCTCTGCCTGGGAAAGAGGCAATTGCTCTGGATATTCCTCACGGAAATACAGCAGGCCTTCAGCAGAGAACAAGGAATGCCTGCCTTAAAAAAGCTCAGAGGAACAACCGATGCAGTAAAGTTTAGTGGTGAATCCCACCCTGGGGCAGGCCAGCTACGAGGCTCGAGTGGGGTATCATAACGTGTGCTCTCGTAATTCCACCAGAGCTGTGATCGATAACATGAAAAGGCCGTTTTCATTATATTACCATTTATCAGCAGCACTGCGGCCCAGCCTGCAAACCGAGGTTGGGACCTCTCCAGCGCTGGCTGCACTACAAGGGCCAGCAGCACCAACTGCTCTCACCCACCGCAGAGGGATCTGATCTGGTGCTGTGCTCCCCTTCCCCTCGTCCCATCGCTGCTGCGCACAGGGGACGCACAGCCCAGCCAGCACAGCTATCACATATGGCGGCCTGAAAAGCAGGATGCCTTGGATGAGGGGCACCGTGAACACCAGCCGAGCAGGTTTCTCCATAACCCACTGCCTCAGCTTCCCCTTGCTCCTCAGCTGCCCTTATTCCAACATAATTCAGTAGTTTTAAAATTACCAAGTAATAAACACTAGCAATCAGGAACCAGAGGTGTAGCAAGGGTGGAGGAATAAGGCACAGCGAAGGGAAAGGACCATGCACCCGTGCTGGAGCTGAAGGCTTCATCCCCTGCACCGTGCCAGCAGGTCACCAGCACAGAGCTCCCTCTGACTCAAGTGACAAGGTGCCGGGAGCCTCCGTGCGCACGTCTGGTGAGAGTCGCCGCCGGCAAAAGGCGAATGTCATTGTCTGCTCCGAAATCAGCAGAATTTAAATCCTATTAAATCAATTTATTAGCGCTTAATTTGCATGAAATTAAATTCGGCCCCTATTCAAGGAGCCGTCACTCCCTTAAATCATCAGCACTGAGCATTTTACATGAGCCTAATTAAAAACTCTGCTGGAGCACTGCCCACGTATTCCCCTTTCACCACTCAACCTGTGCTTGCCGGTTACAGCCCCACTGCCCCAGGAGGCACCTTGTCCCACCCACCCACACGCCCTCCCGTCATGGAGACGATCCCACCTGGCTGCTGGCTGGAGGAAGACCAGCAAAGGCCACTTCGCACCCCAAAAGCTCATCGCTTTCTTACTCGGATGCCTGCATGCAGTTGGTTACGGTTGGGTGGTCATGCCCATTGAGAGGGAAGAGGAGGCGGACATCAGCGATGCGTCCCCTGAGGGTGGCCCTGGCCTCTCAGGAGCACTCACCTCTTTGATCCTCTGCAGGAGAGGAAGTAGCCAGTCCTTATTCACCTCACAGTGACTGTCAAGGAAGGTCAGGACTGCTGCTTCTGCCACATCTGCCCCTCGGATTCGGGACCGGATCAGACCTGTTCAGGGACACACCACGTCAGCTGCCGCCCAGATGGCTGGGCAACGTCCCTGGGCTCCTCCAGCATCGTCTCCTGCACTCGTGCATCTCCTGGGTTTTGACCCATCTAAACCCCATTCAGATAAAACATGGCTTGGGTTCATTGCCTCTTTCCCGGTGCTGCAAGGCATGTCAACCGTTTCCCAAGATCACCAAAGCAAAAAGCAAATAGCTCCACCAAGATTAATGATTTATGGCATTTATGCCAATCCTTAATTTGCGCAATTATTTCTGCTGTCACCTTCTGGGGCAAAACACGACTCAAAATGCTTTCATAACCACCTGAAGGTAATAAATTTAACACAGATGTAAGTCAGTGGGGAACGGGCCAAGGGAGTTGAGGGTGGGATCAACTTGTGCCAGAATCAGGCTTTTCTTAGACTGCTGACTTTTCCCTGCTGTGCCCCTTTCTGTGTCCCAGTGACCCCCAGATCCCTCTCCCGCCCTGGGGGCACTGCTGATTTGCAGCTCAATGGGAACATATATTTCACCAAGGAAAGAGGGTCAGCTCTTACGGTGCTAAGAGCCCGCTTGGCAGTGAATTTAGAGTCCTTCGGAGCTGGATTGCCGTGTGCGTTTGTGAGAGAGAAAAATTAATGAAGAGAGAGGTCACGGAAAACAGCTGCATGCATGGATTTCACACTAGACTCTTCGGCAAGATCACTGCTCTTAAAGATGCTCTGTTCCTATTTATACAGGAATCAACCGGCTTTCCAACACTCCTCTTGCCTGCAGCCAATGCTCAAGTGAACCGCAACATAGGAAAGGAGATGGTCCGTTGGCAAACAAGGACACACAGGTTGCTCAAGGGGAGCGAAGCTTCTTGATGAAGAAGAAACAGTGGTAATATGAGGGAAGATAGATGCAGATAAAGAGAGCCAGAAGGATTTCAGGGAGGAGACACACATCAGGTCCATGCAGAAGGAGGTCACTGAACTTCATATTAAAATTCCCTAGAGGAAAGGGGCGAAGGAACAGCCTCTGAGCAGGAGGGAGAAGGACTGGAGAACAAAGCCTGGAGCAATCCAGCGTTTGCCAAGATCACCTCCTGCAATGCAGGTCGCCCCTGTATCCTTCTCTGCAACTTGTAAGATCTTGTGGGTAGGCACGGTCTGCTGTACTCACCCCAGCCCTCCCCAAATCCGGGTAGGTCCTGAGGGATACAGCTTCAGTGATGTATTAAGTAAGGTAAGCCCTCCAGGCTGGGTTCCCACATCCTGACTGCTTTATAGAGCACTAATACCCGCAGGTCCATCCAGTGCTGGGGGCGAGCACATATGTACCCCCATAACACAGGAGAAAAAGGTGAGGAGGAGGTGCAGGTCTATGGAGACCTCCCCTACCCTCCTGCCAAAGCAGGCGTGTCTCTTACACCCATGGGGGGGGTGATGCCACCCTGATACCAGACCTGCAGAGCTGAAACCTTCTGCAGAAAGAATCCACAGACAAACCCTCTCCGCTCCTCAGTCTCCCCAATCCGACACACACCTGGACTCACACCTTTGATTTCTAGCATGAAAAATTTCTTTGTTTTTTGTTTTCCTAATACTGCAAAGCAGGACTTGAAAACACCCATTCAGACTATGGGGAGCTGGAAGATGTCTCAAAAGGTTGCCAGCAGCAGCCCAGTAGGACATACATTCATCCTCCATATAGCTTTTCTTAATCTTTCAAATATAATTAATTTTTTTTTTTTAAAAATCCCGCAGAAGCAGCAGGAACAGATCTCCTCTCTTTCATTAGAGCAAACATCTTTAAAAATAAGACCCGGGGCTTTGTTTTGCCTGTTCTAATTTTCTGGCTAATAAGCTACAGCTGAGCCTCATTGGATATCTTAATAGTCCCATCTTTTTCAGCGAGAGAGGAGGGATCCATTTCAAATCCCAGCCTTTTATCACATCTCCTTTTAACAGGGCCCCCCATCCCCACGAACCGCTGACCTCCCTTGTCGCCCACTCCACTGAGGTCCCCCCTGGCTCCATCACTCTCATGCCTCCCAAAATCCAGGTTTCCCACCTGGGTCGTGGGCAGGCACCTCTTACCTTCTCGCTGTCCATTCCGCAAGCACTTCACCTTGGGGAGCTTGCCCAACAAGCGGCAGTCGTCAGCTTGGGAAACACAAAGGGAGGACATGTCACCTTCAGCCCTCACGGTGGCTCTGGCAGCAGAAATGGCCCTAGGGGAGATCGGGAACAGGGAGAGGACCCCATCCTGGACTGGCTGATGGCTTGTTAGGGCAATGACACTGCTGGGGCACAACAGTCTTACCGCTCAGCTCATGCAGTGTAAATCAGGACTGGCAGAGCAGCAGTTTTCATAAAACTAGTGTAAACCCAGCAGATTTACACAGAGAACAGCTGGATTATGCTGTAAAGTCAGCATAGAAGAGCCGTGGTTGGGGTCGGAGTTGGAGTTTTTGCACATTAATGCAAATTACTATTTTTGGTAGCTGCAAAGCAACACATAAGCCGTTTGATGCATGTCTGTGTGGTGGGGCACGAGCCTCCTGGGAGCCCCGAATGAGGAGAAAGGGATGGTGAAAGAGAGCCCCGTGGAGTATCCGAGGGCTCCTCATGCCCGGGGCAGCAGCTGCATGGGACAGAGAGGCCCCAGAGCCACTCACACCCAAGCTAGGGAGGTCCTGCAATCCCAAATGCAGTTGCTGCCATTGCTCTTGCTGCCCGCAGCCCCAGCATCCCTCCTCACCTGGATTCCTCCCAGCACGAGCTGGGCCTGCAGGCAGGTGCACCCATCGCCGCCCCCTGTACCTCCACACACCCACGCCGTGACCTCCACAACCCCTTCGTGCCTCTCAGCACTTCTCTGCCTCTTCTTCCTCAGTGCTATAAACACACACGTATGTGCCCCATCCCTGCCACCCACCCCGTGCATCCACATGTACCTCCGAGTGCTTTCATCCCCTCCAGCAATCTTTGTTGACAAAAGACATCACCGTACTGGTGTCCCTAACAACTCGGGTACAGAGCTGCGTTGCTCTGCACACACCAGGGGAGCAGAAGTGGCAGGGCTTGGCTACAGACCTGCAATGGAAATTTGCTGGGAACCTACGTGCAGAACAACTGCATCCCAGCGAATAAAAGGTCAACGGACAGACAGCGGTGAGAAATGAGACACAACTAGGCACGAGATAAAAGCACCAATTGCTTGGGGTGGGTTGCAGGGAAAAAACTGACCGTGTGTGTATAGCATATTATGCAAATACATGTATATTATGTAAATGCATGCAGACTAGATGCCAGCAGGCTCAGACTATCACAGGAAAGGAGATGTAAGAGAGCTGAGAAGCACCTATTTCGAGTAGCCAAGGGGCTGCTGTAAGTTACATGGGAAACAGGCTCCCCCCTGGTGCCCTGGGATGAGTTTAAACCGAGCCCTGCTCCTTCTCCTCAGCTCATGCCATTGGGTGTGCTGAACAGGGGAGCTGCATTTCTACAAACCTTTCTCCTTTCAGGAAGGCGAGCACTTTGTCTATTTAGCCAAACAATCAGCATTTACTTTCTCCACCCTTCAAAAAGCCTGCTCTGCTGTACGCCAGAGCAGCTCAAGTCCTTGCACCTGCTCCTCTTCCCCGTTGCAGCCACTCCGCTGGTCCCCAGGCTTGCCTAGCCTGGCCCCCCGTGCAGCAGAGTCACTCCAGAGCTCACCATAATCACTGCAACCCCTTCCCCTGGCTTCAGCGACTCCCCAGGGAGGCGTCGATGCCGAGAAGTGGGTCTCGTGTGAAATCTGTCCCTAATGCTCTCCGAGGCAGTGCCTATTTATAACATCCAAGAGCAAAGCATAGATCCTTTTTTTTTTAAACCTCTCTGGTTTTGTTTCCACGTTTCCTAGTAAATGGCTACATTTTGCAGCTGCTTGAAATGTAAGTGTCACAGACTGCTCGGCCTAGGTATCATCCTTTTTATGCCTGAGAGAGTTTTTTTGAGCACTTACTCTCAGCACCTGGATCTTCCACTCGCCCATCTCACCAGGCAAGGTCTTTAGCTGGGGTAGTTCCCTGGGAGCTCCCGGGGCTTCAGCTACCGCCTTTTGCTGCAGATTGGACCTATTGATTTCACTTGAGTCACACCATTAACCGGGAGAGAATGGCAGGAGGATGTGGGCTGTCTGTGGCGTACAGCGCTATTTACGGTGCCTCTCAGAAATGGGCAGCCCATGTGGGAAATCCTCTTTACATGGGTTAAAAAAAATCAACAATCCATCAAGAGCTGCTGGCCAGCTACGTAAATGTATGCAGAACATATGCATACATCAGGAGGGTCAGACTATTGTTCTTCTGTGCAATTCCAGTGGTTTCAACCCAGAATTGCTCCTGGCTGCAGCTGAAAGCCAGATTAAACACACCATGGCTGCAGCAGGATACAACCGGATAAGGACTGGATTCATGTCTACTGGGCATAAAAATTATTTGCCATGCACTTTTCTTGTATTATTTTAATGAGAAGAGGTTTGATCATTTGATCATTTGGAATTTGAATTCTCCACGCGGTGATGCAAACCCGGCAAAGTGGAGTTTGCTCTCCACACCTACGGAGCTTTAAATTTCCTTCCACTTCGACAAACTCTTCCCCCTTCTTTGCGTAAATCCCAGTCTCTCAGTCTCTTTCAGTTTGGCCCCTCGCTTTTAACATAGAAAGGGTCACTTACGATCATCACTGAAGTCATCCACTAGTATGATTTCATGGACGAGGTGCACTGGGGTGCG